TAACTTTATAATTCTAATGACACACAAATTTATATAACATTTCTTAATCAATTAATATACCACTTTGTCAAGGGGGTTTACAAGTATTCTCCAGTTATATATATTATTTAGTTCCACTCCCTACAAGATCGAGCTTATAGGCGATGAAGAGGATCCCTTAGTCTTGGTGCCTACATAGATACTGCCTAAGCAACATAAGCAGCCAACTGCCCCTGCACAGCTTCAGAGTTTGAGCATATTACGGGCCTTTAACAGCACTGAACAGTGAACAATAATAGAATGTTATATTAAAAGAAAGAGAATGCACATTACTTATAAGCACACACACCAAGGATTTTTGGAGTACAATCAACTCGGTCTCCAAAAGTACTTGCATTGTTTTAAGACATTTTGATTCTATAAACTAGCTTGTACAATTTCATAGTTCCAAGAAGAAAGAAGATCCACTTTGACCAGCAAAGTTTCTCACCTTCATCACAAGTGAGCATGTGATTCTCTATCAGACATTCCAATGCCTGAAAATGATAAAATGAGCATAGATAAATTTCATAAGAATGTCACGGAATTGAAAGCATGAAGGACCTATGATGCTTCTACGATTAGGAAAAACATGAATAAGATAACCAAGTATCTTCCAGAGTTTTACCATATAAATGTGGCCACTAATACAGTAATTGCAAAGATTAATTCCTTAGCCATACCAAAGGAGGAGAAAAAAGCTAAACAAGAAACCAAGAGACATACTAACCAACCCCTAGATAAAAACTTCCATCAATTACAGAAGAAAGCTAGAATAGCAAAACTTACATACCTCATAACACAAAGGATCTGCCTTGATAGCAGCTTTATACCTAAGAAAGTGTCATGGAGTTATAACAAGTCAGCTCCTTCCAATGATATAACTGAATTTAAACCGCTAGACCAATATTGAGAAGTAAGGAAAGACAGCTCCAGCACATGATGGAACTGTAATTCCTTAACATCAGATTCAATGATATCTCTTGCAATACAGTTAACTTGAGACTGAATACATCTCTTTATCAGATAGGATCCTCAAGATTCATTTTCTAATATAATTCTATGCACAAAAAAGCAAGGAATGAGAGGTAAGAAGATGAGATTGCTGATGATCAGAGATGCTGAACACAAGAAAAAAGACGAGGATAATTTGTTCCTACAGTTATATTAAGGGGAACCAATAATTTCTTTATTGTATTAACAAACAACAAATGAAAGAGACAAAACGAGGGAAAGGATGGGGTCTGTAAACAAAAGGTTCATCCGTATGATAAATATAGTCAAAAGTTAATTACTTCGACACCAATAATTAAAATAATTAGCTCTTTCTGAATGTTATTATTCTTTTGAGTTTAAGAAACTAACAGAAATCAGATGTAAGGAATTTAAATACTCTAACCCACTTTTATCACTTTTTTGAGAAGAAAAAAGAAGAGATAGAAAGTGGTTTAGAGTATTTACCACTTTTATCTCAAGGAACCCAAATAACACTGTTAAACTTCTTCATTCCTTGCTTATTTGATTTGCTAAGACGTACTATGTTCGAATTAAATGTGGAAAGTCATTTTGCCTCACTTCCTATACTTACTATCATTTCTTCTCCCTCATAACTAGTCTGAAAACATGATTACCAGCCAAACAAAAAACTATAGCACCGAGCAATCTCTCCCCTGTCACACAAGAAATTCAGACCAAACCTACAACAACAACATACCTAGTGAAATCACACAAGTTGGATCTGGGGAGGGTAGAGTGTGTGCAGACCTTACCCCTACCTTGTGGAGGTACAGAGGTTGTAAAGACCAAATCTGTAATCCAAAATTATATCAATGAACATCAGTGTCTTATATCCAAACTATCACTAACCATAGTCGAGCCTGTGCACGATTCTCCAACGCTTCATATGCCTTGCCCCTCAAAAAGCATATTGCTGATAAAATCTGTCAAAGATTTACATAGAGCATTTTGATTCTGTGGAAAAGTAGGGACTCAAAACAGATTCCACCGGAAATCCCCACTAGGTCAGGGAGAATGGAGAAACTTACATTTATTTCACGATCTTCACCATCCTTGTCTAAGTACATGCTGTTGCACTCTCTTGTATCAGTAATATTTCCATGTTCATCCACTTTAGCATCACCCAGCATTAGAAGACATTGATCCCACTCCTTCAGCTCTTCCTAAAAATACAAAAATTACTTGTATGTTAGTGTAGGGATAAGTGCAAGATTATAATGACCTCTTGTTTTGGAGAATCCCTAATTAGTCTTGATCCAACTAGCATTTATAGTTAATCCCAATTATTTAGGGATTGACGCTTCGTTGATTGATTGATTCATAATAAAACCCTAGTTTATGGGACAGATACTACAGATTGTAACCTAACCATAATCATACTTAAGGGTGTGACATGTTGATAACTGAAAGAGGAAAGACGGCAACCTACATTCAAATGGTAGCACCTCCCCAATGTAGGCAGCCATGTTATCAATAGCAAAAAGTGAAAAGAAGAGCAAATGTCTGACTTTAAGCACTACACGCAAATAAAACATGGGATTCTAATTAACAAAAAAATCAAAATATGTAGTAGTTCAAGAATAATAACTATAAACACAAATAACAATTACATAAATCATTTTCAAAATTACAATTAGGTGAAATATTTATTGTTTAGCCCTCTCTTTAAGACAGTTGGACTCTGAGACACACGCCTTAACACCTTGTGTTTGCACTGAAGCACCACCCAAGCAAGGTGAAGCACTAAACCTGTTTGCACGTAGTTTCATGGCTTATGAATGCGTCAAGCAGGCATTCAATGACAGTAGAAGGTTAGTGGGGCTTGTCAGGCTGGAAATACTATCACGTACTATGTTGTTGAGTGAATTTTTTAGTGTTCTGCAGTGTTGCAACTGTAACACTTCAAGTTAGGGAAGACAAACAAAGAAGAATAGAACCAGAATCTGATCCACTTGTTCAGTTTATCTTTATTATTAGAATTGCTAGTTTTCTTTATATTCTCATTGAATAAAACAAATTTACAGGGTTTCAAGAGCGTGGTAGCTCGATCCTAGATAGAGTGGCGAAGCTGTGAACTAGTGGATTAGGCGAAAAGGGGAGGTGGGGATCACCTCTAACATGTGTATGCTTTCAAGTGTAGATTTTCACTCTCAACTTTCACCATATAAGGAAAAAAACTGGTTTGATTCCACGGTCTGCTTCTTTCATCTCCTCAATCAACATTTGGTGCATAGAAAGTAGAAAGAGGTTTGAGGTTATAGTATAGATATGGGGTGAAAGTCCAAACATTACTTGGGATGGGAAAAAGTAGCTTATGCAAAAAAAAACACAGAGTTTTATCAAGCCTTCACATTTTCGAGCAACCTCACTGATATATGATCGAATCATCTTAAATATATTAACAAGCATCTGGCAAATGATGTCAACCCCTGAAATTTAACACCTGAATCAAGTTTCAAGCATCTAGAAACATATGAAGTTTTATATAATAGAGTCCAACGCACTGCTCGATAACAGCTTAAAATACAATTCTTTGTGTAGTGTTTGGGTCCCATTTACTAGTGATAACTAAAGCACAACCATACTAGAGGCTGAACCTACTTTGCTGAATCACCACTTCTAATGTTAAAGCACAACAAGTAGCCTGTATAACTCAATTAACGGCTAAGGAGCACCACTAAACATGTTGAATCCCCAATAACACCATATAAACAAGTACCAAAAAACAGTTCTTTGGGTAGTTTTTGCCCCATTTTGCTACTAGAGCCTAAACCTACTTTTGTTAATCACCACTTAACATAAAATTACAATGCATAAGTAGCCTTTTATTCAATTAACACATAAACATGAAGATCCCAGATAACCTTATTTATAAAAGTGCAAAAAGACACAATCTTGGAACAAAATGGAGGCAATTAGACCTCGACATGATCCGAATTAGCTTGGAACAGATAAACAATCAAGTATTCAATTATTTGTATAGTAAAAAGGGCATACAAGGCACTTGGCGGCGAGGTATCGGAAGCGGAGGTCACGAAGGACGATTTGAGAAGCATTAAGAAGGTGAAAAGCACGGCGATAGTGTCGACCAAGATACAAAGCTTGTGCTTGCATGTATATATCAGCTGGGTCAGAAGTAATTGCAGCTACTTTATCAGCAAAGAAGATGGCTGATGAATACAAATGTTTACTCACACAATCCCTCACCACACCTCTTAGCCTCTCAATTTCTTCTTCCCTCATTGTTTGTACACAAATTTCTCTTTGATTGTTCAAGTTTGAATTCAAAATTGAGAGTTTTGGGAATCAGATTTGGGCAGAAGAAGAGCGGGAGGTTATTGTTTGTGAAAAATATGGAGGCGGGTTTTAGACGGGTTTTTGAAAAACATACGCTAACACTCGAAGGCAATTGTATCAACCTATTTGTTCCATAAATATAGTCTAATTCATTAATCTAACTAATAAGATATTCGATATAAATTTAACGTTTTATTAGTTGTTATTTTATCCGTTAATTAATAAGGACTAAGGTATAGATGAAGCAAACTAATGTTAGTATCTATTTATATATATTGATTTGCTAACCGACCTAATGAAATATCCGTTAATTCGGTATAGATTTAATATTTGTGATTGTTTAATCGGCTAATCAATAAGGTATAGTTGAAGCAAATTAATGTACTTAATCTATTTTTTGTTACATCTATTCTTTTTAAAAATCGTATTTATGCAAATTCAATGACGGAATCATAATTTTCGCTAATAAGATTAGAAATATAAAAGGTAAACCTACAAAAAGGTTATCCAATGCTTGTAACAAGCTCAACTAAATCTAAATTCATATAAACAAGTTTCACACCATATAGAATAAAGTATTCACTAACAAAGTCGACTCGCTACCCAATCTTGTGGCATATATGCAAGGCGAATTGGTTCATTTGAGCACAAACCGAGCTTCCAACAGTTTGGGAATACGAAAATGGAGAAAGTGAAAAAGGTATCATCTTTCAGTCTCTCCTCTCTGCTTCGCCAGCAAAAAGATGCTAAAATCGCCCTTCAGCTCTTCCTTAATCCTAATCCCAGCCATGGAAGCAACAAAACTACTAAACCCTTTCGTTATTCTCCACTCTGCTATGATCTCATCATCTGCAAGCTCGGCAGAGCCAAACTCTTTCAAGAAATGGAAAAAATCATCGATAAATTAAGACACGACACTCGAGTTTCTCTCAACGAAGTTGTTTTCTGCAATGTTATCTCATTCTATGGAAGAGCACATTTACCTGAAAAGGCTCTTCATATGTATAATGAAATATCCTCTTTTCGCTGCTATAGAAGTATAAAATCTGTCAATAGCTTGTTAAATGCACTTTTAGCTTGTAAAGAATACAGCAAGATTCGTGAAATGTTAAACAACTTTGAAAATTACGCAACCCCAGATGTTTGTACGTTTAATATACTGATGAATGCGAGTTGTTTGTGTGGTGATTTGGATAGTGCACGGGAGGTGTTTGATGAAATGCGTAAGAGAGGAATTCAGCCAAATGTGGTGACTTTCGGGACGTTGATTAATGGGCTTTGCATGAATCGAGAGTTAGACGAGGCGTTTAGGATGAAAAAGATTATGGAGAGAGATTTTAAGTTGAAGCCTAATGCTTTCGTGTATGTTGCGTTGATTAAAGGACTTTGTAAGGTTGATGATTTGAATGCAGCAGTTAAGATGAAGGAGGAGATGTTGAGAAAGAAAGTGGAATTGGATTCAGCTGTGTATTCTACTTTGATTAGTGCGTATTTTAGGATTGGTCGAAGGGATGAAGTTTATGGTTTGTTGACAGAGATGGAAAAGAATGGATGCAAATGTGATACAGTTACTTTCAATGCATTAATGCATGGTTATTGTCAGGAGAAAGACTTTGATTCTGCATTTAACGTTCTGGATGAGATGGAAGGGAAGGGGTGTAAACCTGATGTAATTAGTTGCAATGTGATAATTCGGGGCCTTTGTGATGACGGGAAATTAAGAGAAGCTAGTGAACTCTTGGATGATATGCCAAGACGAAGGTGTAAACCCGATGTGGTTAGTTATAGGATATATCTTGACGGGCTCTGTAAAGCGAAGAAGTTTAAGGAAGCTGCAGTTATTTTACATGAGATGGTTTTCAAAGGATATATTCCCCGTGATACAAGTTTGTGTAAGTTATTCGACGGGCTAATTCAAGAAGGAGATAGAGAATCATTACTGAGAGCTCTGGATAACATGGCCTCTGTAAATTGTATTAGTAAAGAAGTGTGGGAAATGGTCATTTCCATGATGTGCCAACAAGATAACTTGTCTAGTGCATCTGCTCTTGTAGGAATGCTAACGAAGGATGGAGTAAACAAATTCTCCTTGTAATGGTTAAACACACCTTCTAGATGTGCTCACATACTTAACTCCCAAGTTCATTGGTCAGTCTGGTTCAAATCACGGATTTCTTGCAGACAAAATCCTCGACAGGACTTCAAATGTGCGGATTTGCTGATCTATGAGTGACACCCCTAAGGTACTCAGGGTCCAAACATCTTTGACTTATAACAATGCTTAAGCTTACTTTTTTCACTCATAAACATGTTGTCTGCCTTCCTTCTCTCCATAAATTTGTATCATGTCTGTAAGGTATTTTTAGAATGTACTCTCACCGGCTGCGGAACTTGTTTCTATATTTTTAGCCCATATCTCGATAGAGAAGGCTGTAATGGTCTCTGTTAAATAAGCTTTTCTGGTCTCTATCCGTCTTAACCATGTTGCCCTATGCAATCTAAAGTTCATTATTTGTGATCTGTTACCAACTGTGGTATACATAATTTTGTCCCCTTTGTGCTGTTGTTGCACAGGAAGGACAATAAAACTTGGTCCAGATGTTCTAGATTAAGGTTCTTGTAACTCTTTTAGGTTTTAATTCAATTTGTAGGCGAATTACTCAAAGTATAAATCAGTAATGCCAAATGTTGTGAAAGCTAAAACTCTGATTCTTGTGAAGCAAAGATGCAATGAGATGGGAACAGGGTGATTTCAATTGATTACACTCTTTAGTTTTTAAAACGCTTTTCTTTAGCCGAGGGTTTGTCGGAAACAACCTTCTACCTCATGCAATATAGGAATAAAGTATGAGTACACTCTACCCATATCCCACCTGTATGATCACAATGAGTATGTTGTTGATGTAGGAACTAAAAAATGGCTATTTGTGAATATTATCTTGACTTATTAGGGGGAGGTGCTTATTAATGCCGAATTTACACTGTGCATGTAAGTATTAGACTATTATTACGTTATTGACTTTGTTTGGTTATTATAACTCGACCTTTGCCTACTTCTGTCCCTTTTCATTTGTCTTCTCTTCCAAATTGTACTGTTCAAAACAACTTAGTTTTTCTCTAAAAGTTTGACCAAACACCTCAACAACAACATATTCAGTGAAATTTGACTAAGTTGGATCTAGGGAGGATAGAATATACATAGACCTTATTATCACCTCGTGGAGGTAGAAAGACTATTTTCAAAAGACCCTCGGCTCAAGTGCATATCAAAACAGTATTTTAACTATTGATGTGTAAGTTCAAATGTAAATTAGGTAAATTTCTACTTCCTCTTGATGAATTTACTTTGTTGGTAATCAGTCAGAGTCAATCTCTGTCAAAGCAGCATGAACTCAAATTATTTTAGCCTCTAATAGTGGAAAAGATAAAGTTGATTATCACTAAAAAGCCAAAATGAAGCACGATGTTTGCGTGCACACAACAAGTCACTCTAGATAATATATGACATTTGTAATTTTCTACTGTAGTACTATTAATTGAATCGTTACATGTTTCTTTGTAGTGGGGATATATGCAATAATCACATTGCGAAAAACCTTCCTTCGTCCACAACCTAGATATCACTCAAAATCTATAGACTATAACACACGGAACCCGTTTCGGACCTGATTTGAACTTGCCGACGTTATAAAAAACAAGAAGAAAAGCCGGCAGCTTAGTTCATCCATACCTACCCAAGTTCCACGAGGCATTATTTCTAACTTAGGCATATGAAAAACAATAAGAAAATCCTTTTATCATGTCAACTAACTTTGACACTTGTACTATTCTTCTCTTCCTATAAATTCCTCTACTTTCATTCATTCAACAAAGTGTCCATTTTCCTCCCAATTTCTCTCATTGTATTGCTAAATGGCTTGTCGCGATATGATAATTTTCGTTACTTTAATTATCATGTTGGTCTGTTATCCATCTAGTTTCGAAGCAAGAAGGTTGTTGAATAAAGGCACCGTCATCCCGTCTTCTTCCCCAAGTAAAAAAGGTCATGCCAAGGTTGTTCATGCAGGGCAACAACATGAGTTTGGTGGTGTCAATGTTGATCAATCAGTTCCAAGCCCTGGGATTGGCAATTAGCATTATGTACCCCATATATATATATATATATATATATCCCACAATTTTGAAATCATATCCTTATTCCTAGATAAAGGTTCATTGAAATAATGTAATTTGTATGTATAACTAAAAGTTTATCAATGTATAGAAAGATGACATAAGGGTTTTAGTCTAACTTGCCACATTTTGGGGGTTTCATTAAAATATTTAAGTTATATACAATGACACTGTAAAACTTTAATTTGTTACACGATCAGTATAGTTTAGTTTATTATAGGCGGTGTGTAAAATTATTATTTTTATCAAGTTGCCCCAATTAATTAATGTTTATAATACAAGTTTACATGTAATTTTACAAAGGTAGTTTCTTTTTTTTTTGAATTCACTCTTTTTTGTTATTGGTCTGAAAATAAAGAAAGGTCTTTCAAATTTGAACTCGATCGACTTAATTGTATACACATTTGTTTTCCATTGATAGCATTGAATTTAAACTAACTCTGATCATTCAATTATCGTATTCACTTTACTCGAACATTAGGAGTATTATCAAAGGCGAAATCAAGATTTAAAGTATATAATTTGGAAATCAAAGCTACAAGGTGCAACTGAACCCACAACGGACACTCTCCCTCGACAATTTCAGTTCATATTTATAAATCAGCTCAACTATTATATATTTATGAGTTGAATTACTTAAATTTTAATGGGGTAAATATGAGTTTTGGTGTATTTTTAATCCAGAAAAATAAATATGAGTATCCATATAAGGATCTAGAGAATTGCCAAGAGTGTTCATCCGATGGTATTTTAAGAAAATAAAAAGTCATATTATCTGAGTTGAGTGTTCAGTTAATTTAGTACCTAACTGATCCAGATGTTAGAAATTAAGGTGTGTATTTAATTGATTAAGGCAGAATCAACAGTATTGAGATTTGTTTAAAAGAATGTCAACTAGCACTCTCATCATATAATTGACTTGTCATATACTTTTTGTAGTTTATTGTCCTTTAATTTTTGTTATTATGTCCGGTTTCTTATAATATTTTGATTATCGTATTATTTTAAAGAGATTCGATCTAAAACTCTTCCTGTTGTAGTTATTGTTCTGCTACTATTTCCTGTTTTTGTTACTATTTTTTATTTCTTCTACTTATGTTACTTCTTTTTTCTAGACTGATTTTTCTTGAACTGATGATCTATATATCGGAAATAACATTCATACATCTTAGTTAGATATAAGGTCTAGATACACTATGTCTTCCTTATACTCGACTTTATAGGATTACGTTAGGTATGTTGTTATTGTGTATTAGTGGATGGAAATTTAATAAAGCTACATCCACCAAAAAGTCCCAAACTGTTCCTGGACATTGCGTGCACACTAGATGTATATTTCCTGGACCCTCTCTCTACTATCGATTATCAAAGGCGAAGTTACAATTTTAATTTTATAGATTCTAAATTTAATAATGACGATTTCAAATGTTATTAATTGGGTTCTAAACTTAATATATATATATATACATATTTAATAAACTTCTTAATACAAATATACTATTTGAATAAAAAACGTTACTGGATTTGGCAGTATCCGTACTTGACCTTCTAGCTCCGCCCTAATAATGAGCCAAGTTAAGTGAATGTAGTGCCAAAAACAACAAAAGCCAGCTGCTTAGTTCATTTATACCTACCCAACTAATTACACGAGGCATTTCCATATATAGATACTAATTACAAGTAAAAACATAAGTAAAACGATTTAATTTATATTCATCAACAATTAATAGAGAAAGTTCCTCTCCATTTACTTCCATTAACCTTCAATATTCCACTAGTTGTGTTTCAAACTTTCCTCCCAACTAATGTCTCATTGCAACATAATAATTATTTCCCTTCTTCTACTAGTAATTTCTTATGCTCCTAGCTTTGAAGCAAGAACAAAGTTGTTGAAGAATATGGAGGAGAAGAAGATTGTTCCTTCTCATATTGATGCTAGTATACTAATGAATTCCCTTCAAAAAGGCGATGTTCCGCCTTCTTCTCCTAGTAATAAAGGCCACGCGCAGCTTGTTAACGTCAAGCATTTTAATGTTGATCACAATATGGAGTCAGTTCCTAGCCCTGGTATTGGCAATTGACCAATCACAGAGGCGGATTCAAGATTTTAATACAGAGAAATTGAACTAGCTGCTAAATGAGTACCCTCTAAAGGCTACAAGTGTTGAGGGTGTCAAGTTAATTATATAATCATTTTCAAGGTATACATATACAAGATTTTTTCTGAAGTTTACGAGGTATACATTCAGAACAATTAAGATTTTAGATTTAAAATATGTATATACAAATATGCAAAAAATCTTTGAGATGTATACACAAATAAATATAGTAATTATTCCAAGTTCACGGGCTCTAGACTTTTCAAAAAAAATATGGATAAATATTATTGTCCATTTAAATGTACATATTATATAGATATCAGTGTATATGTTTTGTATATCTAAAATAAAATTCACCGACAGAGATATACTTGACACTGAACAACACTTTTACCAACCCTGAACCCTGGAATCACTGTGAATCCCACACGAAGTTCAGTTTCTGATGATCCGTTGGACATTAAGAATGTTTCTTCTCCGTTCACACTTTCCATGTAAACGTCTGAATATCTACACCCTTTCCTCACTTGAAATACGGAAGCTTCAGGGCTTAAAGAAAAGGCAAGACAATGAAGTAACCAAATATGCTTAGCCATTTCACAGAATGTGTAAAAGAAATGTGTCTTTGGGTACTCATTAGAATTCATCAGTAAATTCCTATGATCCAAATTCCCAAAAAGGGATTTTTCCAATTTGGGATTGATGAGTTTCAAGTACTTTGCACCACAAAATCTCGCAAATGTTGATTTTGGCTTCCTGGCTAAGTAATCTGCTGGTATAACAGATCTCAATTCCATGAATCTATTGAAAAATATATCTGGTTGTTTTGTCATGGACGGATCATTGAAATCATCAAACATCTCCTGACAAACAAATGATTCAAACGCGTAATATTTGTCATTTGGTTTTGAGAAAATTGCATCAGGTTGAATAGATGAAGCTGCAGCATCTAAATCCCATTCTGCATATTCCATCTCTTTACAGAACAATGAAACAAAACTCCAAATCGATTTAATTGTTTTTCGAAAGAAGAGAGTAAAATTGTTGATACTTAATTTAGACAAATGAAAGTCGTCAATTAAACTCAACTTCTTTTCAAGCAATTTGTTCTCTTTATTAGCTTCATCCAATTTCTCTCTGAGAAATATAATTTCAGAGTCTTTGAGTTTAAGCTGAGAATCCAACTTATTTCCCATGATTTCATATGTTGTTAAAATGTTCTTTTGCTCCTTAATTTCTGCTATAACTCGAGTGATCTCTGGGGAACGATCATCAAATTGATCCTTCAAGTAGCATTGTTTTAATTCAGACAAAGATTTCAGCTCGGACACGATCATTTCATCAGCAGATAGAATAAAATCAGGATCATATGGCGATTGAGCGTATTGCAACAAGGCATATGCAGCTTTAATAGCTGAAATGTTCGCGAATAGCTGGGCTAGTAAAGCTTCTTCATTTTGTATGTAATTCTTTACTTTTTGATCTTCATTTTTGAGAGATTTTGGCCTTCGATTTCTTCTTTGAATATGCAAAACATTAGCAAAAGCGCGAGCCAATTTGCTCTTACTCGGTGTCACAGCATGTCGATCCATCTATGAGTGCTGGGGCAAATATGATCCTTTTTAATTTCCGGTTGTAGTAGTGCCTAAAAAGGCTGTAAAAGAAACGAATATTTTACAGAGAACTTTATAAAAGAAAACTGATTCCAAACAAGAGGTCGGAAATGTGGTTGTAGAGCTAACAGGAAGAAAAAACTATGCTTTATGGTCTGAATTCAACGGATTTCAAATCAGACAATAATAGCAGGTAGTATTACTATAAAAGACGTATTAATCAATAATAACCAGCCGTTTTGATGCTTTAGAAAAACAGAAGAAAGTTAAAAGAGTATCTCAACTAAAAACCAAAGGGTCAATACACACCCTTTGAAATAACAATAACAAAATCACAAATTCTTTGTATCTTATATTAAATATGACTTGTGAATTAAGAAATTTCCTAGTGTATATATAATATTGAGAAAGGTAAGATTTGACGAAAGACACATTGTCTAACATAAGAATAGTACTTACTATTTAATTTTTAATGAAAATATATAGTAGTAGTTTCTTGCCAATTTCGAAAAGTCCAAGTATTGTGCAAAAGGCCATACTAATTAAAACCAAATACTACCTAACATTTGATGACTGTCCATTGCTATCTGTTGAAAATATATTACTCCTTCCGTCCTAATTTTCTCTTATTATTAACTATACTTATATCCAAAAGCATAGAATTGGAAGGTGTGTGTGATTTTCACCACAAACATTTTTAACAACATGAAAGATGATTTTCATGAGAAGATTAAAAGTCTATTTGAAAAGTCATCCCATAACTAGATTTGGTGTAATTACTATCAGAATAGTAACTGTACAGCTGGTAATTACAACGATATGTTTGTTTGTCATAACATAATTATAAATGTAATTACAAATGTTTAATTTAGTTGCACAAATAAAATTACAAAGTTAATATTCAACAAAAACATAACATTAATATTCGACAAATATATGTCTAAAAGGTATATGACTAAATTTTATTTGTAATTTGGTATTCAAGTTACATATTAATTTTTAAAAATATAGTGTCCAATAAATATAGCTTAAACCAATCAAAGGTCTCGTTTGAGTTATGGGTATGAAAATAATCCTTGGTAAGGAGCTATTATCTCTGAATGGAGCCCTTTGAGGCACAAATCTGAATTAGTCAAACTCTAATACAAGTATCTGACAATAGAAGAGAAATCATTTTTAAAAAAAATATATAGATTCATATATGATATTATAAAAATAATTGATACATAATTATTAAGTAAATTATATTTCAATTGAACTAACTAATAAGAATTGTAACATACATTTTACAAAAACATCATGGACCACAATTGAACAAGTTGGAGTATACACACAAAAAGAAAGTATCTGGACCTGTGTGAAGTTACAGTTAGATAATTACATGATGGAAATCAAAATGTAATTTTCAATGATTCAATCCAAGTTTACATTATAAAGATCTGGAAGAAGCCTACTTGTGGAAGTAACATTTCCATCTTTACCAGGGACAGACACTGAGACTGAGGAATCACTCCAAGGTGCATTCATACTTTGTCCTTGACTGTCCTGAGAGTATGTTGATACTTGTGTTGTTTGACTGTCATGTGAAAGTTTTTCGAATGATTTAAATCTCATTTCATCGTCTGATGTAGTGCGTTTGATTATTGGTGCTTGCACGGGGAGTTTTCCTTCGAGCATACTCACTACTGAAGACATGGATGGTCGGAGAGTAGGAGAGGGATTTGTGCACAAAAGAGAAATATTTATCATCCGCATTGCCTCTTTTTTGGAGTAATTGGTACCGAGACGTGGATCCACTAGTTCTAACAGATTTCCCTGTTCTTGTAGGACGTAAGCCTGCATGACAAAGAGAAAACAAACATTGACATCCACATATCAGGATGAAATTGGAGAAAAGAAAAACTAACAACGCCATAACAATGTGAACAGAACTAATGAAACAACTTTGATTCTAATATTTTCTTTGGAGGTATCAAAGCAAATACTCCCTTCGTATCAATTAGTTTGTCTAGTTTTAACGTACACAGAGTTAAAGAAAGTAAAGAACACATTTGGGAATGCCAGTACAGTAAAAAGATAGTTTACCCAGTCAAGAAGGTAAACAAATTCCTCTTTTGGCCTGTAGTTTGTGTTGCTTTTCCCACTGACAATCTCTAATAAAACAACTCCAAAGCTATAAACATCAGCTTTATCTGTCAAGTAGCCTCTCATTGCATACTCCGGAGCCATATAACCTCTTCAAAAAAAGAAAAAGAAACGTAAACCATAGTACTGTTGATTATGAACAAATTTAAACGCTCAGAACTGTTACTCTCTCATCACATGATATTACAAAGACAGTTATGATAAGAAGGCTTACACTGTTCCAGCAATTCGGGTGCTAATATGAGTGTTCTCTTCTTCATCTAATTTAGCCAATCCAAAATCTGAAATCTTAGCGTTCAGATCCTTATCAAGAAGAACATTCGTACACTTAATATCTCTGTGGACTATTTTCAACCTTGATTCTTCATGAAGGTAAGCTAACCCTTTTGCTATTCCTGAGCATATCCTTTTTCTGGTTGCCCAGTCTATGTTCAACCTCTGGTCGTCACGGCCTAAGAAACGAGAATTAGAGGAATGTAAAGCATAAACTATCACTGCCTCATTAATGATTCTTAAAATGTTGTTGCAAAGCATTACCAAAGAGAGCTCGAGCAAGACAGTTATTTTCCATGTATTCGTATATCACTAATAACTGGTTCCCTTCTATGCAACAACCGTAAAGCTTGACAAGGTTTGGGTGTTGTAGAGCTGAAATCATGCCTATCTCATTGACAAATTCACGATTTCCTTGCTTCGACTTGGAAGACAGCTGCTTAACAGCTATGATGGCACCATCGGCGAGTACACCCTACAGATAGCAAGATTAATTCACAACGATCATATTACAGACAGAAGAAGGATATGGGTTACTTCAACTATTACTACTCTATTTTCCTATAAACGTGACATCAAGGATAACCAGTAGGAAATATCACCAAAGAACCACAAGCTGTCCTTGTGCAAAATCAGTATGGATAGAGAATTGATACCTTGTAAACTGGTCCAAACCCTCCTTCACCAATTTTGTTGGCAGGATCAAAGTTATTTGTAGCAGCTTTAATTTGTCTAAGTCTAAAATGACCTGTTTGTAAATCAAGGGCTCTGAGTTCTGTAAATGAGAAGAATATTGCAAACGTCAGTATACATAGATCTTCTAAAACATCTGTGTGATGAACAACAATTTTTAAAAGAATGAACATCTGTATGACGAAGACAGTTTAAGCAGTCATGAGCATTTAGTTGTGTGCTAACTATCTATGATATGTCATGATGTCAATCCACCAACAGAACAATCATCTCTATGCTGGTCAGTTACGGGGAGATAATTATTTGTCTGTCGCAGCTAGAAATCTCGTAAATAATTCTATTTATCACAACAGAAGCTCCCCATTTTATCAAATGGAAAGAGTGAAAAAATTTCTTTTAAGTATGTATTACCTAATTCTTCTTGATTATTTTTCCCTCCAAAAATGCCTTTCTTCCACAGAGCAAATAAAACTAGCAGAACCACCACAATTGAAGCGAGTACAATGCCAATAACAGCTCCGACAGGTAAGCCACTACCAGTATCAACTTTAAAGTCTGCAACAACAAAGTGGGAATTTATTAAGATAAGATTGTGGGAAAATAAGTTTAAAGTCTATACGCAGAGATATACGGACTTGGTGTCACTGTGATAGCTGAAATCAGTGGTCCATATACACCTCTGTCTGGAATAGCGTTAGTCCCCTTCCCGGTCCAATACAAGTGAATCTCCAGAGTGCTACTAACAGTAACATCAGCAAAGTCCTTGGTAATGACTTTTCCAACACCGTTAGCTTCCTCCATAATGTTGAAATCCCTCAAAACTACTCTCCCCTGTGTAAGAAATCAAAATATACCACATTAAAATTGGTACTTTCAATATTAAATCAGAAAGCTTCCAATCATATCAGAACTCAGTATATCAACATTCAAGTACCAAATCATATCAGAACTGAATAAAAACATTTTAAGTTACTAATTATTATTTACAAAAGAAGTTAGGCCTCAAACTTACTTGTATTGCTACATCAAATATCCGTCTTCCAAGGCTGCTATATGTTGAGTCATTAGAAAACATTATTTCAGCAAAGTGAAGGCGCACTCTGTAGCTACCTCCTCGTAGGCAAAGCCCATAATATTTGAGAGAATTAGGGGCAAGGCGTGCTGTATTGTAAAAGTCAGGACCGGACACATCCAGTGAAAATGTATTTGTTGCAACATAACTGGCAGCTTGAAGACCCACGTACACTCCTGAACTGCTGAAAGCCCATCTGTCGGAGGGCGAAGAAAAATATGATGGACCTCTATCGGTCGTGTCCCCCTCATAATCGTTTCCCTCAAATGAAGTTCTAGGTCCTCCACAGTTTATGAATAGCGAAGTATCTGCAATTGACATAAAGAGCATAACATGAGGAAGAGTTGTGAAATTATCTCTCAACTCCAAGGCTATGCTTTTGTACTTAAAAGTGCACAGGCTGCCACCCCTGAGGTCCTTTGACAAACTGCTACTTCAGGCCCTCTCAAGGGTCAAGTTAAGAATTTCCGAGTATAAAAAAAAGGTTTATAGGCTGTAACTCTTACATTTCGTTTCTGTGGGACAAATGAGGGGTTTCATAGAACACCAAGCATCCCTGCAATTTCAAATAGATTAATCCACATAATTATAAACAATAGACAGAAAGCATCGAACAAACTAGCAGTTGATGCATAAGACAACATTTAGGAGGACTTACGAGTTGTTGAGCGTGTTTATTGTATTTGAATAGCTGGCAGCTAAGTTTCTGTTAAAGAAGGAAGGTTTGTAAGTAATGTAGTTAAAGGACCAAAATTTTCACTTATAAAAAAAATAGTATATGAATGTAGGTTCCAAA